ATTTTTTTACATATATTCTTAATATTTTTTGAATTATTTTGTTATTTTAAAATATAATAACGGTTAAATATTCAAAATATATAAGACGTTCAGAGATTGGGCCGCCTGTGATATATACTAAGAGATGTTTGCGAAACATCGGGAGTTGAACTTCGTCTTCGCCTAATCATGTTTTCTATTGATTGGATGATAGGGGTGTGAGGGGTTCTCCGCCAGGCGATTGTGCCTGCATTTCTTGCGTTTTCTGAAGAAAATTCATAAAATAATTGCACTTAGCCTCCTCCACAGGCAACTCTTTGGCAGAAATATTATGAATAACAGCAAATTTAAAGTTAGGGATTGTTAGGGATCACTAGGGATAAAGGGGGCCAATTTTGTTAGAGTTGCCTGCGGAGGATGCTAAATTGCACTAACATTTCTGACAATTCGCTATTTCGCCAAAGCAATCCTTTAAATTGAAAGGGCACCTTTGCCCCCCTTGCCCCTCCTGGTAAAGGGCAAGGGGGCAGCTGCCCCTCAGTTCCGGCATCCCTGTGAATAATTATGAAAAATTAACAATAAAAAAAGAAATGACTGGGTTTCCTATTTCTCATTGCAAAAACTTATGTGGGGTAGGGCGGGTTCTTTTTTGTCTAAATTTATTTTTTGTAAATGCTCATGCATGAAAGTGACATCAATTAGCAGCACAGATGACACAAATATTTGTTAAATATTATATCAACTTTGAAACAATTAACAAACAGGTTTTTACTTTATATAGATAGTACAAAACTAATGCCACAATCTGGGTAAGAGAAATTGCTCCAAAGTCTTTGCAAACTTCAGAATTAAAAAGATTAGGGTTGGCAATTTCAGTAGCCAATAGCTAGGGTTGGCCAGGAAACAGGAAACCCAGGTACTTTTTTCTTTAGCTCAATCAGCCTCTAATTTTGTAGTATTGTTAAATAAACAAGACATTTACTGTCATTCCAATTGAAGTGTTCCTCAAATATTGATTCAATACATTACCTCAGGCTAACCAATCCATTTTATCAAGTTCCTCGAGATATTCATACACTTCCTGTGAAAGAGCCAGTTCGAAGAATTTGATCATCTCTGGTCACTTCCTTTCTATTTATGATTGGTTAGTTGCACAAATAACAAAGGTGATTGGTGCATTCAAACTATTCAACAGGAAGTTTACAATTACACAAGCAAGTGTATGAATATCTCGAGGAATTTGATGATTAGCAGAAATGAATTGGTCAGCCCGAGGTAATGTATTGAATCAATATTTGAGGAACACTTCAATTGGTTCGAACAACAGTAATGGTTTTTGAAATTTTGTAATATCTGAAATCAAGCTATTACTATCTTGCACAAGTTTATGTTCTGGTTTCATTGAAATTCTTTCAACATACCCTCTCTACACTCCTTGACAATTGATCTAAAAAAGAGTGCCTGGGATTTTTGATTGCTTCGGGTGTTATCAAGCTACTGTAGATGTGTGGCTTCTTCTAGACGTACAGGTATGTCTTTATACAAAACAATGCCAGCTGCAGGCAAAGGCCTGTAACTCTTTACTTAATTTTGATTTTAGAATAATTCCCAGAAACACTTTAATTTGCAGCTGAACTATGTCACATTATTTTGTGAAATTTTGAAAGAAATCGGTGCTATTTTGCATATATGAGTGAGTCATTTTTAAACTTTCTGAATTTGTAAAACTAAAAAAGTTGACTTTTTGTACCATATAGGGTGTCTGTAATCTTAAGTATATTTTGGTCTTATTTGGCAATTTTTAGTGTGTGGGCCATCACAGTTCATCGAATAATGTTTATATGGGTGGTACATTGCTATCTTTTCCATTGCCATTTGACGATACATGATCCCTCTCGACAATTTGAGTTGAAACCATCCACCGCCTCACAACTGGAACCAACAATCCGCCCAATAGGATTTGCGTAGGATGGTACATGAGCAAAGGTATTGAAATCACCGAAAGATACGGGTAACCAGCATAGATTATCTTCAACATTGGAATACCTAAGGTTAACGACTTGTGCGTGGAACAAAACATTACCGCCACACTGTCGGCGGCTGAGAAATCCAACATCGGTGTCCGTGACAGGTTGAATGCTAAGTAAAGTAAAACGAACTGTAGAAGTAGAATAATTATAGCCATAACCATTAAACTTGAGCCGTTTATTCCTAACGAGGCTTGATTAAAGGTGTCGCAAAATGTTGTATATATTATAAGTAGTAACGTACAGCTGCTTAGAGTTCCAAATGGCGGCTTGGTCTGTTCTAACCAGTCTTTAACACAAGTCCGTAGCCATTGGCCAATTAGGAGAGGGACTACGACAGTTATTGATAATTGGGTGAACACGCTAACAAATGGTACAGTTGACGATGATCCGATTATTAGGTATAATAGTACAGGGGTGACCACAATACCAAGAAAGCTTCCAAATGCCGAGTTGAATATTGCTGCAGCTTCATTCCCGCCGACAGCTTTGGTAAGGATAACTGCAGACGATACAGGTGGCGGCATGCATCCGACAACTCGTAACCCTTGAACCAACCAATTGTCAAGCGTCGTATACTTTAAAACCAATGTCAGTATGTTAATTAAAACCGGGACAAATATTAAGGTAAATCCTTGGACACATGCATGGAGTTTGACACGTGTCACTGCTCTTGTCAATTCTTCTGTTCTCAGGGAAAGGCCGCTGTTAAAAAATATAAATGAAACGGCTAAATACTTCACCGTATATTCGGGCTTCAGTAATCCACCTTTCGCTCCAAATGATGGGTTTGCTTTTGCCGCCAAAATGGCCAAAACAATCCCGATTAAAAACCAATGTTTTTTTACGCTCGAAAAAACCTCCATATTCGAAACGCCTTCGAAGAATCGCGTCCAAGCAACTCTTTCCCGGGGGGTGAGATAGATTTATGCTTAAAACTTTCAATTCAAATTTTTGATAAAGACTCTTAAATTTAGGGAAAAAAGTTATTTACTAATCAAACTTAACCAGTAATTGTGATAAATATATATTAAAGCAATAAATATTTTTTAAAAAAGCAAAAAGTATAGATATAATACGATATAAAGTTGCGAAGCACCCCCCGGAATTTGTCACAGCTGAGCGGCGACACGTCACCTTCATTCCCAGTCCCTTTATCGACTTCGCGAGTATTTTGCAGAAAATGGCTTCATTCAAAATCAAAATATATTCTTGTTATGGACGAATTTCGTCTAAAATTTTGGCTGTTTTACTTCTTTGGACACTTGCCGTTCGCGGGGCTGAATACAAAGATGGGGAAAAGGTACGAAATAGGTTTTTAAAACTATTATTTAAACTTAAAAATTGTTTTCTTGTAGTTCACCTGAGTCCTATTATTGACTCAAATGGCATAATCAGAATAATATAGAAACAGAATTATTACAGGAAATTTTAGATTCTCCATACCCAGGACACCAGTATCTTACATCTGTGACCAGCCCTAAGCCAAATTCATTCTAGAAGATGGATAATTTTCTGTCCGAGAGACTTGACTTTAAAGAGATGAGAAACTCTATCAGATATATAAAATTTGGTATAAAACCATGCCATATATTAAACGAAGTGACTATATGACCGGCAGCCGGTCACGGTTTATCAAATACTAAATGGCCGGCAGTACAGTCACTATAGTTAAAGTTGTATTTTTATAAGATAAACCAATCCCCAAACCCTTCTCTAACTCTAACCCTAACCTTTTGACAGTTAGAAAAGCCGGAAAAAAAGTTTAAAAATTTTAAAGAAAAAACTGCTAAGTCAGACAAAACACATCCCGACCCCGACTGCGCTCAACTTTCCGCACGCAGCGCCTTTGCCGAATACTGGCACACAGACCTCTCAACTTTGCAGAGAAGTTAAGAGTGAGATTGGGGATGTGGATGACACCTTTGTAAAAGTCCTGGGGTCTGAAATGGCATTTCGTACATTATGAGAGTTGGCCATGGTGTTTTTTAATCAGAAATACATTGCTTCATAACGTC